CGCACAAAAACATCCACTGCAGCGCAGACACTAATCTCATTTGTAAATCTCATGCTTCTTGTATTTCCTAAAGCCTCTGCTGCGAGCCGGGAGACCGTCAGAGAGTCTGCATTTGCATCTTTGGCCAAAGGATATCATTCCTGTTCTGAAGAACAGGACAAATGGGCTCAGCTAGAGAGAAGCCTCTCAGTTGATGTACTGCACCATGTCGAGCAAATCAAATTCCACCTGAATAAACAGATAAATGTACGCAGTGTCCCTCAGGACTTAGCATAAGACAAGATGGTGAGTGTATCTTTAATGAGCGTTCATTCTTTCACACGAACCCAAAGGATCGAATCCCAGGTATCCAGCTATTGAACCACACCGACACATTCTCCCTGCCCAGTACTCGCAATTGACCGTTTACCTGAGTTGGAAAACTGGGGGAGTGGACCAGAAAATTGAATAACCTTTTGGTATTCATAGCAAATGTTCTGAAGGTCACAGCAGGGAGGCAATAATTCACACTTAAACCTAAAGCAATGTGTTTGCCACCACAATACGCTGAGGAACAGTCCTGCAGCTGGGCGAAGGTAAGGCACTCTGATTTTCCTGCTGCTCAGTGGTGTTGTCATTGAGCCGTGATGTTAAACTCTGAGCTGTAAAGTACTGCAGAGAGCTCCAAAGCTCCAAACCACAGCAGCACATTGGAGCAGATTTGAGCAACACTGTCAGTAAGTACACGTGCAAGAAATCCAACCAAACTAGTCTAATTTCCTAAACTAGGTACCTCTAAAATGGTGTACACTCTAAAAGACTGGTAAAGACAATGGACCTTATTTATCAAACAGCTCGGATTAATGATGCTGAACTGACGTCAGTTCATGCCTTTTACATAGTATCGAATGAAACTACCTGGACCTACGAGGCCTGATCTTAGATCAGTGTTCTTACACTGAGGTGCTTGATAAATACAGGCCAGTGGATCTATATAGAACCACGAACACTCAATGAACCATCTGCATGCTTATAGGGTTCTTTGGTGAAATGGTTCTTCAGATTGGAGAATGTATTGTATATGATTCTATATTGCACCAAAAGGGATGTTCTATTGTCACAAGCTTGACATCCGAACAATCGAAGTACTCTTTTCAAAAAGGTTATATATATATAAGACATTCTCTATCAATCTGAAGAACCATTTCACCATGCAAAGAACCGTTAGGCATGCAAATGGCTCTTTGAATGTTCGTGGTTCTATATAAAACCACTGTCTTTACTAAAGAACCTTTGAGGACCATCTTTAAGACTGCAAACAAAAATGGCATGTAAAAAACGTATTTGTGAAAATATTTATCAATATTTTAGTAGCTTTTTTTCTCCCTTATTCCATACTTATTTCAGTATTTGCATATGGTTGCTAACATCTATCTCTATTTTTGATTTTTAGTTTTCTACATCAACACAGTGGCTTTCCTTTACATTGTGTCATTTCATGATGAACGGACCAATAGAAATGCTCCAAAATCACTTTTTTCATTTTTTTTTTTTGGCCCTCTCCTGTAAAGTTACTATTTTGGAGAAATGTGTTTGACCTTGACCAGCAATGGTTTATAAATCAATTAATGCTGTTAACAACTCTGAACCACTCCATAGTTCCAGTCTGACGCCCAGCTGCTCGTATGCTATTGCTACGAGTCTGTGCCTTTCTTGTTCAAATACAGCTTTTTAATGGCAGCTTTCATTGACAGCTCTCTTGATACAAGTTACATCCAGTAATTATCATGCTGTGAATTTGTTTATCACCAAAGTAAATCAAGACTGCAGCCTCATTTAAAAACAAAACACAGCACTGATGTGGCCAATATCAAGAACATAGGTATGTCAGCACTGGAGATCACCATCAGCACACTACACTGGATGGTGCTCACAGGAGAACTATGAATCAATGAGCAGCAAACTGACAAAAGTACAGAGGAGTTATATCCACTGACTGTGTATATGATATACATGATGTATAGACTCATTGGTTGAAACATGCAGCCACTGTTGCTCTCACTGGACATCAAAACTTCTGCAGTACTCATTTGTTTAGATGTAAAAGGCATTTGAGTGGTTTGATGTGAAATGGTTCACTGTAGAGAAACTTGCAGACTCTGATTTCTTTACAGTGGTGGTGACAGGAAGCAGGGGTGACGATGTCAATGCAAATATAGCCATTTTATTTACGATCCAAAACCACCACGTCTTGAGTCTTTATTTATATAAATAAAAAAGGACATATTAGGTTAAAACCTTCTCAAAACTATAACAATGTCTCAAACAGGCAATGAAGTTTGTAACAATTCCCTTTAATAACTTTCTATCAGGGAGCTTTCAGAGGTGCACGTCTAGTTCCCATCACCACCACTGTGACTCTGTAAGTTTCTCTAGAACTGAGCATTTCACACCAAACCACTGCACGACTTTGTTTACATCTTAATCATTTAATTATGCAGAAACTAATGCAGCTCACTGGGTTTGCAGAAACACTCACAAACCCATCAGGAGGCGTCCATCCATGAATCATACAGCTCAAAACGAAATTGTACACCATATTTAAATTTGCCCAAATAAAAATTTAATGGGAAATTGTCCTATGAGAGAGCAGTACATATTACTTCAGTGGTTGAAGAATCCCTCCAGAGGATTTTTGTGTTTATTTTAAGTGAACAGGCCTGATGTAGCAATTTGGCTAATTACCAAGTCCTTTATGAGCTGAGTCAGAGGAGGTTGAGCAGAGCAACATTGAACAGCTCGAACTCCCCCAGATGAGGACTGTGAACCACCAGGCTGCATGTTTAAAAGCAGAAATGCCCAATCAAGCACCTGGAGATTCAACTATCTGCAGTTTAATTACAACACCACCACCACCCCTAAAGCAGGAATATAAGAGTTTTTCTGAACATTAGAACCAGGTATGTTCAAATTCTATATATATATGCATCATTCATAATACCTGAGAAAAGCTAAATATCTGATAACACTTATTTGTTGTTTGCACACTCATTAAGCATCATCCTTACAGAATCATGAACTTCATGGACACAAATACTCTCAATAAAATATCTCACTAAGTTACTGAAACTTTAAAGAAAAACTTTACTGAGAGTTACTCAACTTCTGCAGTAATCAAAACAGTAATCAGACTGACCACTAGCCCACCATTATTGACATATCGCTGTTGTAGGAACAAAACCTTGTATCTCCAAAATGATAACTTTACAGGAAAAGGAAAAAACCTACTTTACTTTCAATGCAAGTCAATGTAACCAGATTTTTTTTCCCCCCCCCAAGTCATTTTGGGTCATTTCCTTTGGTCCATTCCTCATGAAATTTACATACAATGTAAAGGGTAACAGATATTTTCAAACTGTCAAAAACTGTTGAGGGATGAGGTTTTCTTCCGATAGCAGCGATATGTACAAAAATCAGAAGAGCTGTTTTGTTACTGGTAGGCAATGTTACTTTATTAATAAATAACACTTCCACAATAAACAACATACATTTGTGAGCATATTTTGGCTATTATCAGTTCTTAAAGAGCACTGACCAACTCTATGCTTCATTATAAAAAGCATACTTAGGCCTGTTTAACTGGATGCACAACACTGCTACACAGTATTTGAAATGCTGAATAAAATCATTGCACCCAGAGTTTTGCGGCCTGTCTTAAATGTTTAAATGTATCTTTGCCACATCTCCCTCCAAGAAGCTTCACTGGACATTTCAGGTAAGTTAATAAAAAAGCCACATTTGTGTTGGACACTTTGCAACCACCACAGTGAAGAAATCAGAGTTTGAACCATTTCCCATCAAAAAACCCTGAACATATTTGTTTACCTCTCAAAGGCAGAGTTACGCATTCATTTGGGAAAATCTTTTGAAAAACAGCAGGTTTGATGCAGCTACTTTAGTGGCCTGAAGATGAAGTCAGATAATCTGTTAATAACCTTTCGCCACAATGTAACAGCTAAGCAGCTTTAACAGACTGTTCAGCTATTCGCACTCCAGCAGTTGATTGAGAATCTTATTCAAGCACAAGTGAATTTGATTGCATGTCCACGTTGGTACAGGCAAATGCTGTACTACACTGCCCTCAAGAGGAGAGATAAAGAGCTGCAGATAATCTTAGGATCCCACAGCCCACATGATGCACTACTAATACCTGAGAAAAGAATAAATAAAAGACCACACACACCTAGAAACGAACAAAACTACTGCAGGAGTTAAAACTGGTAAAATATTATTCAAAAAGTATAAGTTTTCATCTATAGTTTCAGAAAGTACCTGCTTTTAAATGTAGTTGGACTGTGGGAGGAAACCTACGCAGACACAGGGAGAACATGCAAACTCCACTCAGAAAGGACCCTGATCGCCTGGCCAGAGAACCCGAAACCAGTCCTAACTACTTTCACCCAAGTAGAAATACAGATAGAACATGGAATATTACTTTTACTCAAGAACAGATGGTTTGTAGTTTGTCCAATCCAGCATTACATTAGGCTTAGATTAGAATTTAGAGGATGGATTACATCAGGAGCAACAAATTCAACCACTAAAAGGGCCAAATGACAATTTTAACAAATTTGTGAGCCAACGAATGCCCATTTTATTATTAATTGACATTTTGCCATGACATGTAGTAGCTACTGTTTAAAACATGTCAAAACTGAAACAGCAAAACTCATGCATGTGCAGTAGATGGTACATTACAGATAACTTAATGTACCCAGGAGGTAGGTTTTTAAACCTGCCTATATGCTTTAACTAGACCCCTGGCATCTTCTTGTGATGTAAGCACTGACCCACAGATTGTAGGTTTGTGGGGGAGGACAGAGTACACATTATGTTGCAGTGTAAGTATATTTATAAATAAAGCACATTTTAACCCAAAGTGCTGTACAGACAGACAGGATAGGAAAACATTAATGTATAAGAAAAAAATACAGCAACAATCAGTTTACAGAGACAAAAGCTGATCGATAAAAATAGGTTTTTAATCTAGACTTAAAAGCATCAATAGAGGGTGCAGACCTAATGTCCAGGGGTAGACTGTTCAATAGTATCAGTGCAGCAACAGCAAAGGCCCGATCACCCTTGAGTTTCAGCTGAAACTGACAGTCAGTAGCAGCTGATTTGATGCCTGGAGCCAGTATAGAGTTCAAGCAATTGAAATTGGATTCTGTAGTATACAGGAAGCCAGTGTAAGGATGCCAAAATGGGAGTAATGTGGTCCCTAACATTAGCATATTTAAATTATTTTGCAGGTCAGATAGGATTGTGCATAATCCTCTTGTTTTACATGGGATTACATGAAATCTGTGCATTTCTGCAAACTTTTCCACAAGCTCTGAGAAATTTGGGGTAAGATCTCAATTTCATTTTAATCAATGCAGTCAAAAATGAGACCGTTTCCACAGCTTTGAATAAGCCACAAGAGTTGCTCTCCTTCTTCCTATAGCTCCTCCAGGTGGCTGCCCTCCTGGAACTTCCAGCCAGGCTTATGGGCCCCAGACAACCCAGCAAGGCAAGCTAGCAGAAGAGGGAGAAAGCCAGTGTGGTAAGAATGAGACATTTGAAAAAGGACAAGTATAATACATAATGTAATACAATGCTTTTAAAATTGTTGCTTTAGTCTCAGATGGGAGTGTGTCGTTAAGCTCAAATACTTCTATGGAAAAACATTACTGACTGTAACTGATGTCTTTGACATTAATTCATATTAACAGCTTAATTTTACAATATTAAAACTCACCAGGGAACATGTTTCAGATTTAAGAACCCATTTTATACATGTATTAATAGACATAGGCATACAGAGACTACAGTATAACCAAAAATGGTTGGCAAAGTGAGGCATTTACTGCTTAGTGGGAGGTACTTTAGCTTCCATGAAATTAAGACAGCTACTATTTCCACCACTATTCGGACAGGGGAGTCAGTGGTACTCCTAGGACAGGGGTGCACAACTCCAGTCCTGGGGGGCCGGCGTCCAGCACAGTTTGGAGGTTTCCCGGCTCAAACACTCCCACTTAACCTGGCAATTAAAAGATAAGTGTAATCAGGTGTGTTTGACCAGGGAAATCACCAAACTGTGCTGGACACAGGCCCTCCAGGATGCAACAAGTAGCCAACAGCAGATAATCTTAGGATCTAGAACCCTGTAGAGCACCATAATGAACTACAAAGTTGAATAAACAAAATTCTGCAATTTGCATATTTATACAAGTTATACATTCTTGTGCTTTTAGGGTTCTTTGTGCAAAAAAATTAAATTAAAAAAAAAAAAATTGATAGAACCATGAACTCAAAGAACACTTTTTTGCATCATGAAAGGGTTTTTTCAGATTAATGAAAAATGTGCATGAATGTGCTGTAGACAGCTCTATATAGCACCCAAAAGGGCTTGTCTACTGTTACAAGCTTGACACCGTAACAGACGAACCCTTCTGGGTGCTTTACAGAACCATTTTCAAAAAGGTTCAATACAGAACCATCTACAGAACATTCTTCACCAATCTGAAGAACGCTTTCATGATGCAAAACACCTTTAACCATTCAAAAGGTTCTTTGAGTTCAAGGTTCTATATAGAACCATTTTCTTTGCCTAAGAACCCTTGAAGAACCATCTATAAGAGTGTAGCTTTAGCAGTCAGAAGATAGTTAGGGGAAGAAAATGCCGTTATGTGCAGCTTCCAGTTCTAACATTAAACAAACTGGCTTTCAATTGGGAAAACAGGACACCTCGTCAATTAGGTGGAATTCCATCGAACACTTTCAGCCTCTCCAAGCAGCCCGATCCCTCTGTGCAGCAGACCTGCAGCACAAGATTAATAAAAGACTTAAGTTTGCAGTTTCTGCAATAGAAAAATTAGCTAACTTTACTAGCTCCTGTTGAACTCAGTAGTCAGATCCGTAAATTGTCTCAGCAAAAAAGGTTCAGATTCGGGATAAACGTGTTCATCATAGTTCAACAAGCAACTAACAAGAGATCAGCAAAGTACAGATAGACTCCAGACTCAGAACCCTATAAAGCTCTGTAATGGGCTAAAATTAGCTGAGTAAACATTTAATTCTGCTATTTTTACACATTACAGCTTGGACAAACCGAAAAGGCAATGCAAGTAAAGATAACAGGCATCACTGACAGCTTTCAGCACTGGCTTTAAAATGGAAAAACAGGTTACCTTGTCAATTATGGGGAACGCCACTGAACACATTCAGCATCTTCAGAGCTGCCAGATTTCTCCTGGTTTTGTGGGGACGCTCACCTGCACAAGATTAATAACAGACTTAAGTTTGCAGTTTCTGCAATAGAAAAGTAGCTAACTTTACTAGCTCCTGTTGAACTCAGTAGTCAGATCCGTAAATTGTCTCAGCAAAAAAGGTTCAGATTCGGGATAAATGTGTTCATCATAGTTCACACCAAGTAGCCAAACACTGCAAGTGAGCAACACAAATGAATCCTCACCTCCGACTGTCCTCCAGAAGAGTCTGCTGAGAGCTCTTAAGTGGTAGGATCCATGATCATCCATTTTCATGGTACTTAAAACACAAACAGAACATTCAGGATTACATACCAGTTACATCAACACCAACCATCAAAAACTACATTGGAGTAAAAGCGGTACTACACTGCCCTCAAGAAGAAACGAAGCAACTGCAAGTGTTTATTGAAATGAGATTCAGATTTATCCAAGCAAAATTCTTCAATTTCTGTTTAACTGAAGTTAAAACAGGGAAATCAGGAGTCTTGACTCACCCGCCACAGCGTCTCTGCCGGAGAATTCAATCTTCAAGCTTTGAACATCACAACTCACCTAAATGTTGGTCCTTGAAGATCCACTAAAGGCACATACTGCTGTTTTTAAAACATTAATACATCAACCTTTACCTCATAGTGCAGAGCTGCCCCAACACCAGAACAGAGAAACTGAGCAAGCAAGTTGGCAGGAACAGTGCCAGACTCAACCCTTCAGGACTGGAGTGTATTAAAAACTGTAAAAAGCATCAAAAAAGTCAAGTACATGCTATGAGTGACACCACCTTCCTTAAGTTACAGCTGGGCTACAAAAGACACCAGAAGACTCAGTAGTTTCTATAAACATTTATTCTGATTAGTTGCAGGTACAGCTTAGACCAGTACACCATATTGCTTCAGAACATCGGTGTATTTGGAGATCTTGCTCTCGACGTTCTTCTCTGCCTTTCGGGTCAGCTTGATCTGGACCTTTTTCTTGTTGTAGCGCATCCTGGCTTTTTCCTTTCTGCGCTCCTCCAGGGTGGCTGTGATAGCCTGGTACTTCCAGCCAACCTCGTGGGCCAGACGACCCAGCAGGGCAAACTAGCAGAAGAGGGAGAAGAGCCAGAGTGGTAAGCATGAGTCCAACACTGCTAACATTTGAAAAAGGACAAAAATAAATACAGGGAAATCTATGTTGCTTTTGTCTCAGATGGTAGTGCATGTGAAGTATTCTCATGGTTGTTAAACTCAAATACTTCTGTGGTAAGACATCACTGACAAGCAACTGACATTTCAAAGACGAGAGAAGTCACTAAGACCTAAAGCCATAATATTACAATTTAAAACCATTCCGAAGAGAGAAAGAGGAGTCAGACTAAAGAGCCCTTTTAAAGCAGGAGTTTGTTTTTACTTGTTCACCGTCCTCTGATACACAGCTTACAACAAAACCAATAAGGGCAAGCAATTGAGAGGCTTTTTACTGGTTAGATGGTGTTAACTGCGCCCCAGTTCTATAGCAATTCAACTGGGAAAAGGTCCTACCTTGCGGGTGGGCTTCAGGCGCACAATTTTCAGAGCAGCTGGGACAACCACGCGCTTTCTCTGTGGAACAGATCAAACTTGGGTAAGGAATAGTATACTGACCGCAACAAGAAGGTCCAACATGTACAAATGTCTCAGATGGATGCATTGTTCTCAGAGGAATCTCAAACAATGTAGGTAAAGAAAAATAGCATCACAGACAGGATAGAGTTAAAGTCTGAGGTTGCGTCTAAATAGGAAACTTCCTTTCTGCTTTCTTTGATTTTGCCTGATCTGTAATTAATGATTGCAATCATGACATATATAGAGCTAAGCAGCTTGTAGATCAACACATTAAGCAGATCAGGCAAAATTAAAGGAAGTTTCACCCATTTGGACACAGCTGAAGTTTCAAACAGAAGCGTGAATCACCTTGTCATAAGGAGGGGGAATGCCATCGAACACCTTCAGCCTCTCCAGGGCTGCCTGGCCCCTCTTGGTTTTGTGGGGAAGCATACCTGCAAACATTAAAAAAAAAGATTAAGATTTGCCGTTTCTGTAATAAAACAAAGATAAAGTAACTTTACTAGCTCCTGTTGAACTCAGTAGTCAGATCCGTAAATTGTCTCAGCAAAAAAGGTTCTGATTCGGGATAAATGTGTTCATCATAGTTCAACAGTTCACTAACGAGTGAACAAAATGAACCCTCACCTCTGACTGTCCTCCAGAAGATCCTGCTGGGAGCTCTGAAGTGGTAAGGTCCACGGGAGGGGTTTGTGTTCATCCTTTTGCGCAGGAAAGCCAAGTACTTCACTGTATAAACAGAAAACATTCAGGATCTCAAGAGTTCCATCAAGCAAAAAACCAAAAGCTGACAGCTGTACGTTAACCAGCACTGGATTATTCACATAAGAGTGTACTTACATTTGTTACGGTAGAAGTTACCAGAGATGTTGATGCCCTCACATCTCACAACTACTACTTTGTGGCCTGCAACAGAAAAATGAAAAGTTTACATGCATGGGAACTGCATGGGCTGCCAGGTACATGTGCAGTTCAGGAGACTGTCTCAGATGGTAGTGCATGTAAGGTTTTCTCATGGTAGTTAAACTCAAGCAATGTAGGTAACATGGGACATCACTGACAGCCAATTTCACATTTCATATTTCTTGCCTACTCTGATCACAGAGTATAAACACCTTCAAACCACAAAGAAAATGCTAAGTTTTATGAGAACTCACCCAGCAAAACTTGCTTCGCCACAATAGCGGCCAGCCGGCCAAGGAGATGGCCTTGGCCATCAAGTACCAGAACCTGTAGGAAGAAAGAGAAAGAAAAAAAAATGTACTATTCAGGTAAAGGCCTTGAAGCTTCGCTTCTGGAGGTCTACAAGCCGAACACACCTGAACGGCCCATCAAGAGACACATGTGGACATTAGAGAAAATGTATTAGTTAACTGAGTAAATCTCCAGAAACAGGACTGATCACTTCTGTCTCATGTCAAGTGCTGCCCTTCTTAAAATAAAATCAAGTATATGAACACATCATGTGCATAAACTGGTCAATTATATCTGACGGGGAAATAAACAGAAACTGCTAACTCTAAAGGATGCAAGGTGGACATAACAGCTAGACCTGTGTAATTAAAATAATTCAAACAATCACTATTAGAGATCTAACAAATGTATATGAACCAGACATGCGAACCATTCAATGTCTCAAAACTTCTACACAAGAACGTTATTTAACATGAAATTCATGCTAATATCGGAACCCCTGTTTCATGACAGTGTTCATCAGATTGTAGCCTGAACGCATTTTTATATCATGCATGTTCATAAAGGGTGTTGTAGCACACATATGCCCTCCACATTCACCACTATTTCACCAACACTACATGTAAAAACTCCGAAGACACGTGTACGTCCACTAGCGGTTCTGGACTGTAAGCAAGGTGCGTTTACACGACCTTTGGTTCCCATCAACACCATTTAAAATCTCATTCCCCAGGTTCCTGTTCGAATTTACCCGTTCCACCTTAAATTGTGCAGTATTTACATTCTGACGCTTAACATTTAAGGTGGACCGGGAGACTTCATACAAGAAGCTGGCGAATAGGAAGCCAACTTCAGCCTCGTGCTAGCTCCACATATCGGACGTTGCTAATATCTCAGCTAGCTAACGTTAGCGGCTTCTTTGCAAGGTTTTCAAGCCGTCATCATCTCACAAATACCGAGTACAGTCAAATATGGCTGTTATTAGCGCTCTACGCCCCACATTTGCAGGCAGGCCGTTCACCACGCTGAGAGAAGCTAGTACGAAGCCACATGCTAACAGCGCAGAAGACACTGGGCCGCCGCGTAGACGTTTAGCTATTAAAATGACATTTCGGCGAACCTCATTTACTCTCAAACGTACAGATACAACATCCCGTACGGTTAGGAGGTCGCTGACAGAGAAAAGCGAGTCCTCCCGTCGCCGTTAAATATGTATTTTTAGCCGTTATTCACAGCGCTCACACGCACCTTATGGAACCGGTCCGCCATGGTGAGGGGAAAAGAAAGACGCACGGGTTCACCCGGCGTAAAAGACAGGGGTGGGGGCGGGGCCACGGCGGGAGGAGCCATGACGTAGTTCACATGGGTCGCTGTCCAACATGCACACTTGTGTTCTTTACCGCTTCGCTAATGTATAAAATAACGTTTGATTGGGTTTTATTTGTGTAGTGTTTCCTACAAGAGACAGAGCAGCTTTCAAAGTGGGTCCAGACCCCTAATGAGCTTCGCCGAGGCAGGGAAAACACCGAGAGAGAACGGAACACAGAACGGGGACTAAGAAGGGGACTAGCCGTTAGGGCGCACTTCGACTCAAGTGCTTGGAGGGTAGCAAAATTAAAGGAGAACTACACAAACTTTTCAAAATTCCTGCTTAATTAAGTGGTTACGACGTAAACAAAGTGATGCAGAGTGGTTTGTCGCAAAATACTCCGTTTTTTGAGAAACTTACCTAGTCAGAATTGTTCACAGTGGCGATGATAGGAACCAGACGTCTGAACTTCCCTCACAGAGGGTTATAACATGTAACAGCAATGAACGCGCCACCTGATCGCTGATTAAAAAAACATAGAAACTATTAAAATTTTCTCTTGGGTACTGGTGGTCTCCAACTGCCATTACTAGTGCTTTCCTGACAAGTTGATACCACACTGTAAAGGATTCTAATTTAAAAGGTGCTGTGGGACTGATTCCGGATGCATTATATGGTTTCCTAAAGAAATCTTAAGATGTCCTACTGGAATGTTCTCTAACGGTGACCACTAAGCCAATTCCCACTAGTAAGCAAAACCATCACCAGGTTTTAATCCTAATGGTTCTACTGATTTTTTTTTCAGTATGGATGACTGAGACATCGTTTTGTATACATGGTGGAGCGGTACATGCAGTGCAAGGTAAAACAGTCCCCAGAGAAAACACTTATTTTTTCAGATTTTTTTATTGTATCATCATCATCATCAACATTCCACATAATAACTCAGAAAATAAAACGTGCAGGTTCACTGGTCGTTTTGGATAGTAAAAAAAATAGCTATATTTGCATTGTAGACCTGGCGACCCCCTGGTTCCTATCAATGTTTGGAAAATGGGTGCAATTCCCCTTTAATTTTGCGCACTGTGCATACAAAGAATCCCCTTAACCATTTTCAATCCACTGGAATCATTTTAATATATTTTCATTCACCTGTTCCTATGAGCCAGGATTGAATTACATGCTGAGGTTATTTAAAAATAAAAGTCCTGACCGGAACAAACAGGTAGTTTTTTGTTTTTCACGGAGTGGACTAGCTCAGGAATGACTAATCCTGGCCCTGGACATCTGTCCCACTGGAGAGAGTTCAGAACCAACACTCCTGGCTCTGTTATTCAGATTCCCATGAAGGCCTTCATGACCCACATTAGATGTGGTAGATCTCCAGGACCAGGACTGGGCACCCCAGGGTAGCTAGAGCACCACTATAGTGTATAGGATACAAGTGCACTAATAGCAACACAGACACTTACAGAAGTCTGGAGAGGCCATGAGCTGTTGCTATAATTTTCTGGACTGTTATCTTGAGATAATGAGTTAGTGATCTTGTGATCTCAGGATAACAACTTTGACATCTTGAGATAAAGAGTCATCTTAGCTATCTACAAAGTTATCTTGAGAGTACAAAATGATTAACTCATTATCTCAAGATAACAAATATGTTATCTTGAGATCACAAGATAATTAACCTGCTATCTCAAGACAACAACTTTGTTATCTCGAGATAACAATCCAGAAAATTATAACTACCTTATGGCCTCTCTGGACTTCCATACTTGCTCTTGCTCATCACTTGTGTTGCTTTAGACAGAAGAAGCGCAAGCATCGCCATCATGTGGCCGTCTGACTGAACTTAAAACATTTACATTTAACCCAGTGGTCTCCAGCCCTGGTCCTGGAGGGCTACCTTCCTGCAGAGCCTAGTTCCAACCACAATTAGCCACATGTACTCCAGCTAATCCGCCTCCTTCTAAGCCCCTGATTGGCTGGATCAGATGTATTAGAGTTAAGTAAGGGGCGGGGCAGCTGGTTGGAACTAAACCCTGCAGGAAGCTAGCTTTCCAGGAACGTTGGAGACCACTGACTTCACCACAATCTAATTTTGAAATGAAAAAGGACTCCAGCTGAGTGCTTTTCAGTTGCGTAAAACATGATCTAAGGAATCCTATCTATGGAAGGATTGGTGGGTGTCCCTGCTGGTCCAGGGAGGAACCTCAGTGGGCCTGCTTTTTCTTTGACCCACGCCTGAAGGGTCAAAACATCAGCACCTGTTAATGTGTTATGTGGTCAGTGCACCTGTTGCATAGCTATCATAACTATTCGAAATGCTGTGCTAATTCCATTATAAGACCGTAGCCTATTCCGAGCATGCACTAATTGCTAAGTCCGCGCTCTCCTGAGTTGAAAGGCCTTCTTTCTGCATAGAGGGCGTGGCCAGAACGCCATTCAGTGACAGTGTAAAAAAGAAAAAAAGATGTGAGCAGTTTGTAGAAAGAAGTATCAATATCCTGGTTAATCAGTACCCCTCTTTTAATTCAGTCCAACCAAATGTGAACAACTAATCACACAAACAAAAAAAAACGGGGAGGGTCGTCAAGGCTGGAAGATCTGATGATGAACCCAGTCGTCAGTCGTCAAGTCTGAGTTTGCGGATTCTGCCCTCGTGACGGATGATCTCTTGCTGGAGACGCTGAATCTCTCTCTTATGATGATCAATCTCTTCCTCATGGTGTTTTCTCAGAGCGGCCAACTGTTCCTGCTCTTTCCTCCTGGAGTGAGAGAGAGGGGGAGAGAAATATGAGTAACCACATTGTGTTGTACACTGTAATTAAGACAATTGAACATTCATACACTGCAAAAATGATGTGAGAACATCTTAAATGTAGTCAATGTCTTTTTTTCATCCTGAGATTTTTGTAAGAATATTGTAACATTATTCAACCTGTTTCTACACATTTTTGCTTGTTTTAAGTCAATTTACTTGTTTTGAGAAGTAATGCAGATAATTGTGCTTATTTCAATACACACCAATATACATAAGGCATAACATTATTACGCTGGTCTGAGTGGATCAGACACAGCAGTGCAGCAACACTGATGTGGTGGTGGTGTGTTAGTGTGTGTTGCGCTGGTCTGAGTGGATCAGACACAGCAGTGCTGCCGGAGTTTTTAAGCACCTCAGTGTCACTGCTGGACTGAGAATAGTCCACCAACCAAAAATATCCAGACATCAGCGTCCTGTGGGCAGCGTCCTGTGAGCACTGATGAAGGACTAGAGGATGACCAACACAAACTGTGCAGCAGCAGATGAGCTATCGTCTCTGACTTTACATCTACAAGGTGGACTGACAAGGTAGAAGTGTCTAATAGAGTGGACAGTGAGTGGACACAGTGTTTAAAAACTCCGGCAGCACTGCTGTGTCTGATCCACTCGTACCAGCACAGCACACACTAACACACCACCACTGCGTCAGTGTTACTGCAGTGCTGAGAATGATCCACCACCCAAATAGTACCTGCTCTGTGAGGGTCAATGGGGGTCCTGACCACTGAAGAACAGGGTAAAAGGGGGCTAACAAAGTATGCAGAGAAACAGATGGACTACAGTCTGTAACTGTAGAACTACAAAGTGCACCTATATAGTAAGTGGAGCTGATAAAATGGACAATGAGCGTAGAAACAAGGAGGTGGTCATAATGTTATGCCTGATCGGTGTAAAAATGCTGAAAAGAAGTAAAATTATCTGCCAATGGTACAAGACACTTTCATATAACAAAATGACCTAAACAGGTAAAATTTGTCTAGAAATAAGTTAAATAATCCGCTAATATTATGACAGTGGGTGGATTTAGCAGTTCTGGGGCCCTGGGCAAAACACTGGAATATATAAAACTATATCTTGGCAATTGAAATCACATTAAATATAGTGGATATGTGTAATGTTTCTTATTGAGATTGTTATAGGAATATTAAAAGATGATTTAAACTTTTTTGTACACATTTTCAACTTGTTTTGAGTATTTTTAAGTATTTTATAAAGTATTTAAGTAAAGTGATCTCTATGCTGGCAATGTAGTGAGACAATCTAGAATTATTAAGTAATGTAAAATTAAAGTAATGAGTAGTGAGATTACTTTTTCCAAGAAGTAATAAGTAATGTAATCCCATTACAGTTTAAGAGAAGTAATTAGTAACTTGAAATGGATTTTTTTTTTGCGTGCAACTCCCAGTATTGGTGGCATCTAAAGTAACATTAAAGGTTCATTTTGTTAGATGCAGAGTTTTAGTGTACTGTGTTGCAGAGATATCCACTGAAGTTTGCCTGCTAGCCAGCTAGCCCCAGTCTGTCCTGTCTCGCAACACCACCTCAAGAGGCGATAGAGAGTCACCAGTGTTGAGTCCACCATCAGTCAAACATGAGAGGATGTAGAAGCTGCGCCAGAGCCAGTTTATGAGGAGCCTGGCCTCTTCCTATTTCCCCCGTTATATCAAAAACAGGACTGCAAAACAGCAGTGGGCATCTGCGAGCGAGTCCTCAATGAATAGGGATGAATGGAGCTAAACGGCTAAAAATGAAAAGTCAAAATAGTTTCTGACCACTTGCCCAGAACTTTAATTTTAGAAAGTAGAAGGATGTATTTTACTAAAAAAAAAGCAATGAAAACTCAGCTGTAGGTTTCCTTTTTTCTACAACAAACGTGTTTTGGGCAGCAGGATGCTAACATTACTGCTACTGAGTGTTGCAGAATGTGAAGAAAGAGTTTTGACATTATGTCACAGACATCTATGCACAGTGTGGCAGAGCTAAGTGAAGTTAGTATGCTAACCAGCTAGCTCTGGCTCGTCCTGTCTTGTAATACCACTTTGTACCTCAAGAGGTGATAGCGAGTCACTGTAGAGTCAGGTCTGCCCTCAGGCCAACATGAGAGGACGAAGACGTCCCAGAGGTCGTGTTTTAACCTCCTGTTAATCGTGCTGAAAGTACCACCCCTGGTTAGACTATTTAAGGACAGGCAGCCAATAAAAGGAACAATGAACGACATGGCTGAAGCTCGACAACTGACCGTTATCGCCAACACCACTTACTTCCAGCAAGAAACCATGTTGGCAGCAAAGAAAAGAAGTGACATAAGTACAAGAACAACAGTTCACACTGGCACCGCTTTCCACCGCTGGAGCTCTTGGGACGAAGTTTGATGTTGAACGACATTTCTAGACTAGTAAGGAGGGGGAGCAGCGAAGAGGGAGGACAGTGAATATCCTTGTTTCTTATGATACAGGTGAACAATACAGCTTTGTGGTGATGTGCTGCCCCCATTTGTTAGGAGTGTGGAGTATGATGTATGTTTTCAACAGGTTGCATCATCTTACATATTGCTCCTTTAACACTAGCACTATGTATGGTCTGCGAGACCTCTAGTGAAAATGTGTCTGTTTTGCACTCCTTTCTAATTTAATACAAAGTTTTTCATTCAAAATTCTATTATCAGCATAACAGCCTGAGTGAAAAGGAGAACCTTAACATGAATTTCAGAATTTCTTAGTATTTGGTGGTGTGTCTTTCTTTGGCTTTAAGCCCAGCATACTCTCAAGTGGTCTGCTAAGCCTGCGCAGCACACAAATCACACAGAAGAACCTCCTCTGTATCACGTAGATTATCACTTAATTGTCTTGATCATAGCAGTCTGTCTTTACGCAGTGTCATCACATAACATGGAACGGTCCATTATAAGCATGAGCAGAAGGTGGGGCTGCCTTGACTTTATTTAAAATAACAACAATTACAAATAAAGCTATTTTAAAAATGTCTATTTTAGTATAGGTCATTTAACATAAATACATATATTGCTGCTGTCAGAAGAAAACCTTGTATCTCCAATTTTGTCGAATTTCATTTTTTGCCATAATTTGAAAATGCCTGTTGCTCTTTACATTGTCTGTAAATTTCATGATGAATGGACCTAAAGAAACGGCCCAAAATGACTTGGAAAATATTCTGGTTCCATTGACTTACATTAAAAGTAAAGTAGGTTTTTTCTTTCTCCTGTAAAGTTACCAAGTTGGAGATATGAGGTTTTCTTCCGACAACAACGTTATGTTATATACATGTGTATTTAATTTGTATTTTCATTTAAAGCTGGAAATAAACAACACAAAGTTTTAGAATCACAAAAAAAAACATGAAGAATAAATATGCAAGATTCTGCACTATTTCTAGTTCACTACTTAAATTTAGGCACATTTGTGCAATATGACCACGTTGAGGCCTTATCTCTACTCTTCTATTGAAGCTCAGATGACTCTCAGGCGGATTTGATCTACAGATCAGAAACTTTCGCACAAAGTTTCATCGCAGCTTGAGAGTATGCTGGGCTTAAAGCCAAAGAAAGACACACCACCAAATACTAAGAAATTCTGAAATTCATGTTAAGGTTCTCCTTTTCACTCAGGCTGTTATGCTGATAATAGAATTTTGAATGAAAATCTTTGTATTAAATTAGAAAGGAGTGCAAAACAGACACAGTTTTCACTAGAGGTCTCATATTAACTACATTTAAGATGTTTTGATATCATTGCAGTGTACAATGGTGCAGGGTTAAAATAGACATTTCACCTCGCTAACCTGTATTTGACGCCCCACCATAATTACCTCAGACTTATAAACAGCATCCACCCAGAGTTCACCCACTGTAACAATGTTGTTTCTTAATCCGTTTTGGTTTTTGAAGGAGTAGTTTGTGAAAAAAACTGAATGTACACAACTTTCTCTATTCAAGATGCCAAACATAGTCAAACAACCAAGGCATGTTCGGTGTCTGAAGTTTGCTTCTTTAGTTTTGCAGTGGAGCTACGAGGCTAATGTAGCTAACAAGTAATGAAAGCTGTTATCTCCAGTCACTGTATGATGTCACATAGCTGAGAACAGATATTATATATATATATATATTATATATATATATATAGATATATATATATATATATATATATATATATATATATATATATACACACATACACACACACACACACACACACTATATTATAGTGAAAAAGATAAAGATAGGTAGGTAGAGTAGTAGGTAGATAGATAGATAGATAGATAGATAGATAGATAGATAAACTGTGCACTCACTTGAAATACATCTCCTCCTCAGCTGCCTCTCTCCTCCCAAAAGCTCCTCCTGCCTCCCTCACTGCGCCGCCTCCTCCTCCTCCCTTCCCCACTCCTCTACCCAGCTCTCCAAGCTTCAGCACAAACACATTCCAAAAGTTTTGTTAAGTTTACATTTATTTATATAAAACTTAAAATAATATTTGTGTATGACTCAGTTTGTAATGTACAACCCCATTTCCAAAAAGGTTGGGCGCTGTGCAAAGTGTAAATAAAAACAGAATGCAATGATGTGCAAATCATTTAAACCCATATGAAACTGAGAAATTTATTTAAATTAATTTTTAATTTAGTTTTTTTTAAATATATAGGCTATATCCATTTTGAATTTGATGCCAAGAACACAGTTCAAAAATTTGGGCCAAGTGCAACAAAAGACTGCTAAAGTTGGGCTAAAAAAATAATGCTAAAAAAAATCACCTGTTGGAACATCTCACAACTAATTAGCCTAACAGATCAATAAAAAAAAAAATCTTTCAGAAGATGGGGAGTTGTGCACCACAGCATGAGCAAATAATTCAAGTAAATAGCAAAGAACTCATCATCTACAACGCACAATATCATTAAAAGATTCAGAGAATCTGGAGAAATCACTGTATGCAAGAGACAAGGCCAAAAAACAATATTGGCTGGCCGTGATCTTCGGGCCCTCAGGGGGCAATGCATTAAAAACAGACATGGTTCTTTAGTGAAAATCACTACATGAGCTCAGGAACACTTCTTAAAACCAATGTCTGTGAAAACTGTTCATCACTGCATCCATAAAACGGCAAGAAGAAACCATATATAAGCACGATCCAAAAACGCTGACACCTTCTCTGGGCCTGTTCTCATTTAACATGGACTGAGGTGAAGTGGAAAAGTGTCCTGTAGTCAGATGAAATAAAATTTTAAGTTCTTTTTGGAAATCATGGATGGGCTAAAGAAGAGAACGACCATCCAGCTTGTTATCAGCACACAATTCAAAAGCTAGCATTCATTATGGTATGCAAGATTCATTAGTGCACATGGCACTGTTCATTTTGTGATCGGGTGTATTTCAAAGCAGGATTTCTCAATTAACAACCTAAGCCCAAAGATGAGAACTGTCCAAAAGGAAGGTCCCACAGCTCTTTCCCATTGGACAGGTTTGACGTTGGGCTTAAGTTATCTGGCTGAACCGAGAAATCCAGCTTTGTGGGATACCCACCTGGTTGGCCTAAAACAGGAATAAAATGCATAAAATCGTGCGGATATGGGCCATCAGCTTCAGGTAGTGTTCAGATCAACCACCAGAATGGGGGAAAATGTGCTTTCAGTGATTTTGACTGTGGCATGATTGTTGGTGCCAGACGGGTGGTTTGAGTATCTCTATAACTGCTGATCTCCTGGGATTTTCACCCACAGCAGTCTGCAGAGCTTACTCAGAATGGTGCAATAGAGAAAAAACATCCAGTGAGTAGCAGTTCTGCAGATAGAAGTGCCATGTTAATGAGAGAGGTCAGCAGGGAATGGCCAGACTTGTCCGAGCTGACAGAAAGGTCATGGTAACTCAGATAACCACTCTGTACAACTGCGGTGAGCAGAAAAGCATCTCAGAATGCAGAACACGTCGAACCCTGAGGTGGATGGGCAGAAGACCACATCGGGTTCCACTTCTGTCAGCCAAGAACAGAGTACCGAGTCTGCAAGTGGGCACAGGCTCACCAACACTGGACAGCTGAAGACTGGAAAAACATAAACTGCTCTGATGAATCTCAATTTCTGCTGTTGCACACAGACGGTAGGATCAGAATTTGGTGCCAACAAATGAATCCATGGACCCAACCAGCCTTGTGTCAGCAGACCAGGATGGTGGAGGTGGTGTAATGGTGCGGGGAATGTTTTCTTGGCCCTCTTCGGGCCTGTTAACACCAGTCAATCATCGCTTGAATGCCACAGCCTATTTAAGTATTGTTGCTGACCATGTGCAACACTTCATGACGACAATTTACCATCTTCTAATGGCTACTTCCAGCATGATAAAGCAAAAGTCACAAAGCAAAAGTCATCTCAAACTGGTTTCATGAACATGACAGTGAGTTCAGTGGCCTTTCCAGTCACCAGATCTGTATCCAATAGAACACTTTAGGGATGTGGTAGAAAGGGAGATTTGCAGCATGCAAGTGCACCTGGAAAATTGCATCACTGCATGATGCAACTATGTCGATATGTTTCCAACATCTTGTGGAATCCATACCATGAAGAATGAAAGTGCTTAGTGAGTGTGTTTCCATGACTGACATTGCACATAAAACTCAAAGACTTTTGTAGGGTCACTTTTGGTTTTAGACAGTAAATAAAATGTCTGTGTTTGTGTTGTAATCATGGTGAGCCCTGGCTCCTATCACCACCACTGTACAGAAATCTGAGTCGATAAGTGTCTCTACAATGAAGTGTTTCACGTCAAACCACTTTGAGTGACCTAGTTTTCATCTGAAAGATTGATTTTGGCCCAAACGTTGTAAAATCATTGGAATTACCTTTTAAATATATTTAGGAATAATCACAACATGAGCAAGAGATGTTCATATTTTTTTCTATGTGGGATTTTTAATGTATAATATAGCTGACTAGATGACTCATAGTATTTTTACCAGCTTTTTATAATAACTGTACAGAATGGCAACAATCGAGGGCACATAAATCATCACACTCAATTTCTGTCTCTTTTAACAAGTAATAAATTATCCCATCTAACACTACAATGATTAACATTGGTGCATCAAAGGTCCCTTAGTAAAGGGAATGGTCCTATTTAACACCACAATACCTAGCTAAAATGGTTCTTTGCATGGTAGAATGGTTCTTCAGATTGATGAACAATGTTGTATATGGTTCTATATAGAACCAGATAGCACCTAACTGTTATGATGTCAAGCTTGAAACCCTTTGAAGAACTGTTTTCAAAAAAGTTCTTTAAAAAAACATACAACACATTCTCCATCAATCTGAAGAACCATTTCACCATGCAAAGAACCATTTAAGCATGAAACGGTTCTGTATAGAACTCATGGTTCTAAACAGATGCACTGGCTTCACTAAAGAACCCTTGAAGAACCATCTTTTGTTTAAGAGTGTTGTTACTGCAAGAGTAGAAATGCACAAAAATGACCAAATCAAGCCAAACAATCTACCTGATCAGACGACATCCTGATCTGTGTGGCAAAGAAATTCCTCAGGTTTGGTTTTAAAAGTCTCCAAATTCTCATTGTTGCCTGCCAAACACGCTCCCTCTCACTCACACACTCAAACACTCTCTCACACACTCACGCTTCTGCTTACATTAACGCACACAAACAGGGAGCGACCATCAGCGCGCGCTGAGGGGGAGCCCATTCAAGTCTCTCACACAAAACACTCACAGGGGGGTTTTCTGACATACCTGGTAAACTATTGACAGATTTTATGAATGAACAGAGCCGCTGTTGGCTGAAACGTCCGTATTGATTTGGTGTAACCAGGGCTTGGACTCGGTCCCAAAAAGAATCGATTCCTAGAGTCCAGATTCCAGGGAATAGGACTCGATCCCACTCAGTGACGTGCGAGTCGCTTGTGATTTCAGTCTCAAGTGGGGCGGGAGTTTCTCCTCGCATGAACCCGTTCACCTGATCATGTGGTAGCGATTGGTGTGTCGTCCGCAAACGAGTCGGCTCTTTCACTCGGCTCTTTTAGTTGAACGTTGGGAGCCGACTCGCACTGGAGAGTAACTTTAATTTTCTTCTTTTTTTTTTTTAATTCCATCGATTTTTCAAACGTTACGCATAATTTCAAGGTTAAGACGTAAAATGAGTCGTTCAGAGTGGTTTGGTGTCAAAATGATCCGTTCTAGAGAAAAGTACCGAGTCAGAATTGTTCACACGAGGTGATAGGATATAGACGGGTTTGCATGATGCAAGTTTTATGATAGTTTTGAGAAGATATTTTTAACACATAAAATCTATATTTTCCATATGTTCTTGGCGTAGACATACATGCATGGTGTTCTAACCCATGCAATAAAAATAATAATAAAAAACTGACTATTGAACACCATGATTTTTTTGTAGGGTAAGCAAAATAGTCTACTCTTTATCTATATTATCTAATGTGGGTGAATATGCATATATATATATATACATATATATATATATATATATATATATATATATATATATATATATATGCATATTCACATAGCATAAAAGACAAATCAGTGGTATTTACATGTGAGCAGGTATTGCACTAAGTGGTATGTAGTTCACAACACAGTGACTATAAACATAACTCGGAGTAACAGCAGTATTTACAGTCTAAACTGCACAGTGAGGGTGTCATTACAGTAGCAGTTATGATTTTTGATATTGCACAGTGTGTATTAATAAGAGAGGTGATATTGTGATGTGGTTCAGCACCGGACAGGCAGCAGGAGATCAGTACCATCTCTGCAGTAAGGAGACTCGTTTTAGAGTATATTTATCAGTTTTTCACCATATCATTGTGATACATGTAAACTAAGAAGACTTGTTTAGGTTCACTGGTGGTTTTAGATAATAAGTAAAATGGCTATATTTGTATTATAGACGTCTGTTTTAACCTCTGGTTCCTATCACCACCACTGTAAAGAAATCTGGGTCATTAGGTTTCTCTACTATGCATCAAAACACTCAGAATGACTGAAAAAGACTAGTAGAGCCATTATGATTAAAACCTTTTTTTGTGCTTTCTACAGGGAATTGGCTTAATGCTGGTGTCTGGTGATCCCACCCTCACCAAATTCACTGAGTGAAACTATCTGACTATATTTTTTTTTAAATAAGCATAATGCCATTTTTTATTAGTTATTTAGAATGTAGACTATAGGGTTTATGGGAACTAAGGTTTTATTAAAAGTTAAATGATATATAGATGATGACAACTGTGCTAACTTGGTTAATTTTGGGAACAAAAAAAAACAGTGTTAGTAAATGAAAAGCCCACTGGGCGCCGACTTTATGAACTTTAAATGGTGGATTCTGGCGCCTCCGGTGTTATATTAACTGCTGCAACTTTTAAGGTGGATCGGGAAAATTCGAAAGAGAAGCTGGCTACCATCTCCCAAAATTAATTAAGCTAGCGTTAGCTTTCTACGGTCAATTATAATGACCTCTGTAACCAGAGACATAATAAAAGAGGACACCGGTCACCGGTTGACATATGAATGGGAAAGCTCTGTTTAGCCCCGCCCTTCAAGAAAATGAGCCAATCGGCTTGCTGTTTAGGCTGCAAGCGGGAAATCCATCCATCGCTAATGCTTTCGAATTCAAGTAGGGCGGGAGTTTCTCCGAGGATGAACCCGTTGACTCGAAGGCTATCGTGTGGTTGTGGTTGGTGTGTCATTACCAAACGAATCGGCTCGCTTTGGAGAGCCGCCTTTATTTAATCCCATTCAATTATCAACGGTCCTACACAATTAAATCGTTAAGACGTAAACAAAGCCGTCCAGAGTGGTTTGATGTAAAATGATCCGTTCTAGAAAAACGTACCGACTCTGAATTGTTCACAGTGGTGGCGATAGGAACCAGATGTCCACCTCTAAAAGCTCCCTCACGTTATTACATGAAATGTTCACAAATACTTTGCATGAAGGCTGAGAGTTTGTACATAAGTTGTTCCAGTCACTTCACTGTGTAGCAAATGCTGTAGCGAAGGTGTTAATGAGTGAACCATACTGAACAAAGTGCAAGTGAAGGGACTCAAGGAGTCGATTCCACACAAATTTCAACTCCAAAAAAAAATCAATTCATAAACAAGATTTGCCAAAATATACAGTACAGTGTTAAAGTAGTACATAATATACTGTTATGATAATACATAAGTCCCTGAGTGGAACTGAGTCGAATTTGAGAATCAACTCTTTTTGGGATCGCCCCACACCCACCGAGTGAAGTTTGTGTTTTATATCATTGCAAAATGTTGTACTGAAAATTCAATTAGTGTATTTTTATATGTTCAAATATTGTTAGAGTAAGCCCCAGTGCCAGTTTAGTTAATGCAACATTAGCAGCATGTATGTGTCACAGCCACATATATATCATTTTAATAAACTTGGGATTCGTTTCCATTTAATAAGCAAAATAATCAGAGATCGTTATCAGATTGCAGTAACAGAAAGCATAGTTTGGGATTTTAAGGTGATAAAGGAACCGGTTTTCCTTTTTTTTTCAGGCTATGTTTCCAATGGGTTGGAGCAGGCCCAGAAAACCGCCCCCCGGCGTTGGATCTGTATACGAAAGGTGTCAGATGACAGATCAGCACTCACTTTTGTGGTTTCACCTATATGGCCTGGGTTTAGGATAAGATTTGGGATTACATTTTGGAAGCATCTGTGCATCTACAGCTTAAATTCATTTTTTAGCATGAGGAGAGCAAAAATCAAAGCATCACGGCTATTAGTGTAAGACCACGGAGCAGTCTGTGACTTTTGAATTTGATTTAAACCTGGCCCAGAACTGTCAAGATGACATATAAACCAGAAACAAAAGTCTAACTGTTAAGGTTCTGCAACTCTAGTTTAAAGCGGTTCATCAAAAAAAATCTAATTTGCACAATTTTGCATCTCCAGTTTACCTGGCTGCATGTCAACTGTGGGAGGAAACTCATGCAAACTCAGGGGGAACATGCAGACTTCACACAGAAAGGACCCCCTAGCCGGGGAATCAAACCCAGGCGTATGTTATAGTAATGCATTAGGTCTGTAAGATCTCGCTTCTCTGATTATTGATTATAATCACTGTGTATATTCACAATCCCTGCTGAAAAAAGCAGCATGTATTTCAGGCTGGTTTAGCTGTTCACCCAGCGTGGTCATGCTGGTTGACTGGCATACCGACATCCAAAACGCAACATATACTGGTTTTGCTGGTTTTTCTAGCAGGAATGTGATGTTATTACTGCCATCTATCCTCATTCCTTGATACTAGTCACCTGCATGGTTGGTGCCACTTCCTTATATATTGCTAGATATATTTGTTGTCCAGTGTATTTGTCTAGTCTGTGCAATATCTTCCTTGTATGAAGTTTCAATGCAAAGCAGAAGTAGTACCACTGGTAAGGTTTTAAAACTCTACCACATTGACAAAGAATCAAGACCACTTTTTTACCTCAATACAAAAAAACATGTAAAGTCAAATTCATAAGCCTGGACAGAGACCACAGCAAAGCCGTTGTGAAAGGTTTTATTCATGAGACAAAGCACATCCGTAAACGTCACGTCAAACACTGCAAATGTGGAAGTGCAAAGGGTGAATTCATAGGGGAGTCAGTATGAAGGAAGCTAAACTTTGGGGCTAAACGGCTTCATTTCTGATAAACCGCACACTGCATAGTATGCAAGTTGTTAACTTATGTCCTATTCAGTGCACTAAGTAGGGAGCAGAGAGAAATCAGCCTGGGTTGCCTGATCACTCCAAGATGGCGGACCAAGCTAACGCTAACTAAAGGCTCCTTTGATTGGTTTTGCTGTTGGTTTTCTATAGCTGGTCACCGGCTGAATTCTGGGTGGACTGAGGGGATTTTAGGGTTCCATATTTCAACATGCAAACTTCATTCATCCTAATAGAGTCCTAAATTATCACACACTCTGGTAGGATAAAGGTTGTTCAAATGCTAATGCTAGAAAAGTGACAAAAATGAGCATTTCTGTTTGAATGAACTCAAAATAGAACTGCACAATAAATCATCTGACAAAAGTCATCATGATATTCGCCTTTGCAGTACTGATATCAAAGAAGGCAGCAGTATGCAAATGACCCTCTAACCAATCACAGTTTCTTACTGCGTGCTGTGAGAATCCAGACCCAACACAGCTCCAAATGGCCATTAATGGGTGTTTCGATGAATCAGCGTGCTCATGCAATTTGATAAAAGTATATCATTTTGGTAAAAACAGTGAATTGTTATTATTATATGTCTTCTTATTGAATCACTGACATTTTTTAAAATTTCAGTTTTTTTTAAATAAATTAAATGTAAGCAGTCATTTAGCATGGTTTGCTGCGAAAATGCCATGCTCTTGAGAAACTCTACAATAGTGGTGACAGGAACCAGACGTCTGAAGAGTTTATTGCCTCTAAAAGTTCCCTCACAGAAAGTTTTAACATGAAATGGTTATAGATTACGCTGCCTGACACCTGACATTGCATGTTTTATGACCTGTTCATGGCGGAGAGGCACATGCAGGGCATTGTGAGGCAAAGGAGTCCTTAAAGAAAACTTTTTTTTTCAGATTTTCCACTATTTTTTGGTCAATATTGCATATAAAACTCAGAAGACACGTGTAGGTTTACTGGTCATTTTGGATAGTAAATAAAATGGCTATATTTGTGTTGTAGACATGGTGACCCCTGGTTCCTATAACCTCCACTGCAAAGTTCCTCTACAATGAGCCATTTCACATTAAAACCCCCTCTGAATGACTTTGTATACATCTCAACCACTGAAATTCTGAAAAATTGGTGGACCTATCATTCAAAGAATTGCAAGGCATATCCCAATCTTAATATGTAGCAATATGATCAAATACTAGGATTTTGTCTATATTGTGCAGCTCTAGCTCTAATCAACTGAGGATGACAGTACAAAATGAAAAAAAATGTTTCCCTTCATTTTGGATGTCACGTGATGGATTAATGGGATTGGATTAGCTTCATCACTCCTACTACACACACATTCTCTTAGCAACACTCCTCATGCTCACGCACACACAGGCACTGAGAATGAAAAGAAACTAAACAATAAAACATTTTCAGAAAATTCCTAACTATTCGTTCAACATTTCTCAAATTTGTAACTTACGCTTGTAAGTTGATCTCAATTCACAAAAATTCATACTATTTACAGAGATGGTCAGAATCTATTTGGTTCCAAAGTATAACACAGTAAAAGTAATGCTTGTTACTTCAGTGACAAAAGAAGTGAAATGATCAGAACAATAACATGGCTGACCGTATGGACACGTTAAAAGTCAATTTTTGAAGAGACCCATCTGAATGTCATCGTAGGAGTCTCAGGAGATCCTATCCAGCATCTCTGCCTGATGTAACTGCGCAATTCCACCCTCTAGTTTATGTTTCACCACCGGCATGAATTGATTTTGCTCAGTTTATGGACAGGTGTTTTTCTACAAGCAGCAATATAAAACACATTTTTAAGGTCTTTCATCACTGACCGGTGCTCAAGGCCACTACAAGTTTGTTTAACGCCTGCTCCTGGCCAAATCAAGCCTGCACTTTTTGCTGATTTGAAAATGAAAACCTGGAATGTTGACATCTATAGACAAGGGGACATTTCTGAATTAGAAAAATCTAATCAGAATGAGACTAACATAACCATCTGTACTTGCTTTGGCCGAACAGGGTGCCCAAAAAGTGACCGCTGACATTGCCAGTGTGGTCAGCTTTCTCAAGCCCTTATTCAGTTGATGCATTAGGCAAATTTGAGACATGGGAACTGCTCTGCTATGTTTACAGTGTTCTCTATCCCAGCCCACCTGACCCTGCTTATGAAGCTTGATAACTGATTCATCCATGCTCTGCCCACAAATGCATTCTGTCGCTGGACAAACTTTATGAAACATCCCATTCAAGGCTAATGAGACACCGTAGCGTGCAGCTCAGTTTGTGTCAAAATACCTATAATTATATTTAGTTTGTATGTCAAGAAAAATCGGGTATAGTTTTTGTTGTATAACAACAAAAAGCTAACAGTGTGTTTACTTGCACTTAATAATCCGATAACTGCAGAAAAACTGATTTTGTTAGTATTCCGATCAACACATTTACATGCCTTTGTGTAATGAGATAATGGGGAAACTCCAGGTCTACATGAGTCAGGCAGTAATCAGATTTCGGCTTTGCAACCAGCCAATAAACTAACAGAAGATGATGCGACGTAAACGTAACGGAAACTCAAACTTCAAACCGCGTCTTTAAAAAAAAAAAAATAATAAAATATCACACAACTTTACCTGAAAATATGAACATACATCATCTAGAAGACAAAGAAAATTTTAATCCTTCATTTCGTCAAGCATGTATTTGGTTTCAGCATCGCTCCAAAAGCGTTTTGCTTGCTTATTTCCAGTACTGCTGTCTGTTTTCGCACATGCGCAGACTGAGAAATCCGAAAGAAATCAGAGTAAGAGTTTACATGCACTGAGAATTCTGATTAGAGCTAAAAATCCACCTCTCTTTATTGGAGTTCTTAATCAGATTTCTAGACCATACTCTGATCTTTGAAATCAGAGTGTGCCGTTTACATGACCATTTGAATAATCAGATGAATGCAGAAATCCAATTAAGATCAGATTATTGATTGCATATAAACTCACTCAGTAGCATTGTTTTATGTTTTTTCCAACATGTTTAGTTTCAATTAGCTACAAATTCATAGTCTTGGTAACATTAACATAGCAAATCTAAGTAAAGCGCGCTACAATTTGTATTTAGGTAGAATGAGATTTTTCTAAACATTCTGTTAAGCTTGTATAACCCAGCCACAGTTGCTAAGAACACTTTTGTGGAGGGAGCATGGACAGACATTCATTTGACTGGCTTGATCAGGTGTGTTACTTAAAACCGTGCAGCACAAAGCATCCGCAAGACTGGACTTGAGAACTAGTGCATTAGGCTTAGTGCCATTTCAAGCAAACTCAACTAACCAAAATGGGCACAAAATATGGGAAGGGCTCAAAAACAAAGAAGTAAAAAAGTAAAAGCAAGAAAAAGAGATAGAGAGAGACTGAGAAACATTTTTTTTTCTTTTCTTTAAATGGCCAGAAGTGGCCGGCGGAGGCCTTTCCTGGGTGGTGAGCGTGACGCCCCCTTGTGGAACCGTCAGTCCTGCTTGGGGCCGGTCAGGGCTCTCAGGCGCTCCAGTAGCGGCGGGTGGGAATAGTGCCACATAGAGAAGAGCCAGTCGGCCACGGGGAAGCCCAGGTTGTCTTTGTTGAGCTTGATGAGTGCGGAGTAAAGCTCTGCAGATCGACCCATGCCCCGAGCAAACGCGTCCGCCTGGAACTCAAACCGACGACTCAGCACAGTCAGGCAGAATGACAGCAACTGGAGGAGAGTGGACAGAAAAAGGAATGTGAGTGGGGAGGAGAAACTGGAAAAAGAAGAGAAGCGGATAGGAAGGTAAGCGTGCTACCAATTCAGAATCACTGTTCTCAACAATATAAAAATGCAATTTGATTGCAGACTAGTTGAGAAAAATTAGCCATTTTAGAGGTGTCCAGAACGATGAACAGAGCTGTAGAACCGGCAGTCGTGGGCTGGAGGTTAGGGAACCAGCCTTGCAACCGGCAAGTCGCCAGTTCGATCCTCTGAGCCGACAGTCTGTGACTGAAGTGCCCTTGAGCAAGGCACCTAACCCCAGACTGCTCCCCGGGTGCTGCGGACAGGGCTGCCCACCGCTCCTTGTGTGTGTGTTTCACTGGTGTGTATGTGGTGTTTCACTGCACAGATGTGTTAAATGCGGAGGTGAAATTTCCCCATTGTGGGACTAATAAGGGTCACTTAAAAAAAATATGCTAAAATAATTGGGTAAACCTGTTTAACATTGAAAATTAAATGATTCAGAAGTGAACAAAGTTAACAAAGAAATAATTTAAATAAGTCAATCTCAGTGCATCAAGTATCACTGTATTCATTAGTTGATCACAGAATTCTGAAAAATTGAATTTTTGTATGATTTGAAAAGTATTTAGCCAGTGTTGTTTTTTTAATTCATTATAGTCCAAAATTAGAAAATTAATATTATTAAATATTACATTACAAGTTAACAAAGTTTCTTCCTTCTTCTGGATATATATAAAAATATATATGTACACTTATAAATTAAATGCATGCACAGTAAAATATATTAGATGATATACAAGTTCCAGCTGAGTATTCCAAAAATGTATAAATTATAAGGAGGAAGCTATTTTTACGCAAGTCTATATATGATTATCTACAATTTAGATAATCTAAAATTTTAGTGTCAGAAGTGCACAGTCACTGCACCTCGTTGTAGGGTGAGAAGATGAACTGGAAGATGATCATTAGTCCAATGAGAGTTGGCTGGCTGTCATGGAAACCAAAGGCCAGGAAGAGTTCTTTCCGACCAATCAGAGCAGCAAAGAGGAAGAAGCAGAGGAAGGAGTTCATCTGTGTTGGAAAAAGAGAAAATTGAGCTAAAAAGGTTTTTCTTCAGGATGAAACCACTTATTCTGACCGACGATGATCAGCTGACGATGATTAGTTTCACATCCACACAAAAATCAAAGCACAAGGATGTTCACCTTTTCAGAACTTTGAAAAGATCTAATAATAAACCATTGATAAACAGAAGTGTCAACAGAAACATGAACTTTTTTTTTATTTTATTTATTTATTTTTAAACACACTGGTGAAAAACAGCGGAGGCGTTTTCTGTTAGAAGTATCTCTCAGATAAAAGTGTCTTGCTCCCAGAATCTCTTTCCTGTGCAGCTTGTGTGAGTAGCTCAGAGATTCTGAGGGTTGGCTCACCTGGCTAATAACGATGTTCTTCACGGTGTGGCCCAGTTTCCAGTGTCCAAGTTCATGACCAAGAACAGCCAGGACCTCTGAGTTACTGCAGCCTTGCTTCTTATTCTAGAAATTTAAAAACAGACTATAAAAGACACAATTTCCGTTCCCACTTACCACTGTAAAGGATTTGGTCCAGGATTTGAAAATATTTTGTTAACATCACTGATCACAGCTTAACGTAAATTATATTAATTAATATTATTAACACCATTAACCAACATCCAGGTTTATATGACTTTCGATTCATGTCAACTTTAAAGTCTTTTTCTGTTTTTATTGTACTGCTCTGTGCAAAAACCCAATATTTTGTCTATTAAATGGTGTGGTATTGATAAATTGGGCTCAGTATGAATACAAGCATGAATTTCGACATAGTAAAACAGGTCAATTTTGATCCCAGGCTGACTTTAACGGTGTAAAAATGGACTGAAGTGTCTTGACGGTGGCGATTAAACTGCTTATCGCTTATATTATTATTTTGGCCAAAATGCAGTTCTCAGGGTGGTAAATAGTTCCTTTACAGTACATTTTTAAAACACTAGATTTTTAAGAATAATTCTGAAAAATAATCACTTCGAATCATAGTCAATTTTGAGATTTAATGTTTCACTAAATTGTTTACTAAAGAACCGTAATTAAAATTTACTAAAAGTAATTCATAAATAGATAAATAAATAGAGACCATATAAACTTAATTTACACTGTTTATTTACACTGGTAAATGTTACCGATGACACCACTCCCTCACTGTCCTCCTCACACTCAGCAGTGGCACAGTACTGACCTTGGGTTTGAGCTTGCTCTCGTCACCTGACGCCTCATTCTCGTCCTTCTGCTCTGTAGAGCTCTCTCCCTCACCGCTCTTGTTCAGAGGAGAGTAATCCTCCAGCAGCGTGTCAAACAGCACGATGCGCTTGTTCTTAAAGAAGCCGTAGAAGTAAGCGTTACTGTGGGACGACCTTTTAGAGCCTGTGGACAGTAGAGGACAAAATATGACTGACACGACAACAATAAACACAAACAGAGCCTTTTGAAAGCTTCACATAAATGTTTGAGCATAAGTATAGTTTCACATCTTGTATAAATAATCACATTTAGGTCACTTTATAGTCAGAATGATGATATTTCAGTGCCAAATAGAATAAATAGCTCCAGAGTCCGGAAACAGTCAATGTATCTTTGCTGATGTGCTAGCTTGGCAAATGAGGGGACAAAGCAATATTTCTGTTTGAAATGATTATGTGATGAATACAGTTGGAGGGGGTCCAGGTACCTTCAACCACGTAGATCTTGGTGAGGGGGAAGCTGATAGACTTGGCCATGCTCTCGATGTCTGTTTTCAGCTCTCCCTCCGGCAGTGGGGTGAATTTATCAAAAAGTGGGGCGATGTAGTCGGCATAGATGGTCACCAGGACCTTTACAGTGGAGGCAGAAGATGGGAAGTAATAAGATGTGTTGTGTGGCACATAGATGTTATCGATCATACTACGCATTCCAAAATTCCCATGTGGTAGCTTTTACTTAAAAGCCATGATGAAAAACAAGGGTGAGTGATTTATACTGCTTTCAAATTAATGCCGGTATATATGGCTTTATTAATACTGAGCACTCACACAAGGATAACAGGTAATACAGCTGACAGCAGTCTAGAGCTACACAGTATAGTGCAATACTGACCTCTGCGGTTCTGAAAGAGGACTGCAATATGCAAATGAGTGCTGTGAGTCTTCAAAATGACTGATTCACTAGTTGGTTTTAATACAATTAAATAAGCAAAGCATTCTAAGACCTAATGCAATCACAATATGCAGCAATATAAGTGCAATGCTAGTATTTTGTCCATAGTGCTAACTGTATATGACTCAATTCTACTGATTTATTGTCATTATGCTGTAATGTGTAGAGCTGTCATGATTACTCAGTTAAAATCGATCACTCGTTTAAAACAATAATCAATATGTTCTAGACAATTGGGCTTAGTGACTCGTTTGCAATTTGAGCGATTTGGCTGGTATAATAAAGCTGGTTGGAAGACTGAAAATTCTCCACAAGGGGGAGCTATTAGTACTCAATTTGCTTTCGTGAGCAACATTGAAAAAGAGAAAACCCACACCAGCAGGATATCATGAATGCATGCATGTTTGTAGTTGTATGTACACAAAGTAAATTTAAATGTGTGCTGTTAAAAATTGTGTATGTACAGTGGTGCTCGAAAGTTTGTGGACCCTTAAGAATTTTCTGCATATATTTGACCTAAAAAAATCAGATCCTAAGAATAATATTATATTAGACATGGTCATTTATTTATTGAGGAAAATGATCCAATATCAAGTTTTAGGTTAAATTTATTCAGAAATATATAAATATGCATTCTAAAGGGTTCACAAACTTTCAAGTACTGCTTTATGAAACAAAAGGTTTTGTTTAGTTAGATCTAAACTACATAGCTTAGCAGACAACTACCAGGCTCCACCAGTAATATTGCTGGAGGATTCATTGTGAAATGACAAAGATTACAAGAATTCAGGCGCTAACCAGAGAGACGATGAGAGTGAAGAGCCAGGCGTAGATGAAGAAGTAATCTCCACCGATCTTGATGATGTAGAGGAGCAGGGAGGTCACAGGCAGCAGAATACACTGAGTCACCGCAAACTTCTTCAGGGCGTCCTTCAGGAAGAACCCTAATGTCTGAGGAGGAGAAAAGAGAGAGAAAACGGAGGGAGAAACAGAGCAAGAGAATGAAAGATGGAGAACTGAAATACTTGATGCTGTAGATTAAAAACCTTTGTATGACTTTTTAAATAACATCAATATTATCAGTCTGAGGATGTTCTACTCGCCTGCTGGTTGAAGCCGTGCTTCTCCTCAATGACAAACGTGTTGTAGAGGCTCCACGGGAGGCCTGTGAGGGCACTGAACAGAGTTGCCAGCATCAAGAAGACTAGAGACTGGGAAATCTGGAGGAAAAACAAAAAGCAGCATGAAGAGAAGTCTGAGGGCTCAGATGTGTACGTTCAAATCCAAAAGCAACCTCATAGCACAAGTCCGGTATTTACATACGGTTGTGTGGAAAAGTTTGTGGTGCTGCTGTGTCCCTTCACTTTGTTCTCCTCCTACATGGCCTGCTGTTAGAGTGTGTGTGTGTGTGTGTGTGTGTGTGTGTGTGGGTGCACAACATGAACAGGCTGCTGACTGGCTACAGCTGCTAAAGGAGAACCCTACACTGGACACTTGTGATATTTTAAACATCTGGTATTTTTACATAAATTGTTAAGCCTGTATTGATTTAAACAATAATGCGGTGGGTCCACCAGACCACCAAGTAACAAAAACATCTTGTTTTTGTTCACTGCACCATGCTCACTAGCTAAAAGTGTTAGTGGTAGTGCTAAAATGTTCTGCCTGTAAATATAAAAGCTGATTAACAGTTACGATGCTGTTGTTGCTAAGCAACAGGAATAGACGCAGCCAGAAGCAGCGTTCACAAAACCAAGTGTGAAGCCCTAAGAATAGCAGACCATGCAGTGTGCCTTTCTTTTTCCACCTTCAGAAACCTGCAGTATGAAACCCCCCCTTAAGGAGTTCAGCCCACCTCATACTCTGGTCCTAGGCCAAATCGAGCAGTCACAATCCCCGAGATCCTCCAGAGGAACGGGATCCCTCCCAGCAGCAGAATCAGCTGATGGAGAACAGAAACAGAAGACAGTAAATACATGAAAAGGAGGAGATGCTAGAGAAGAAACACTACACTGTGGAGTACAGAAGGGGCTTCAGGCTTAAGATGGGAAACATCTCTCTGACTTAGCTTTCTTTATTTTTCTTATTTGTATTTTGACCTTTATAAAGTACATGACTTCATGTTTCTACATAAGATTAGGGTTTCAACTAAATGCTGCAGGAGGGACACCTTTGGCGTGTGGATTTAGTGGTCATTCTCCTTCAGAGCTCTGTTCTCTCACTCACCGTCCCCTCGGTCTCAGAGTAAAGTCCAGACCAGAAGCCGAAGTTGCTTTTGTCTAACTGGTAGAGTCGTGACTTCTCAAAGGTCTCGGCATCCATAATCTTCCCCAGCTCTGTGGGCACGTGCATGGTCGACCTGTATATCCTCCTCTGAGACACAGAAACAGGACATAAACATACATACACAGAATGTTTAAGTAAACACCTGATCTAAAATTTAATTATATAATCAATATATTCACCTACAATACAGGGCAAAAATCAGAGACCTTCATTAAGTACAAGTTATTCATAAAATACTTAAGAGAATGTTACATATATAGTATCCACATGTAATAACAGATTCTAACAGTATTTAATTTAACCAATCTTTACTTTAATTCTTCCATCCTTTCAATCTTAACAACAATTGGCAACAATAAAGGACATTTCTTATTCATTATCCACCTATATAAGGATGGGGAACGCCAAAGGAAAATAAGTGGAAAAACATGAGTTTAAAAAATGATTAAAAGCTACATAGAGAATGGGGCTCCTAACAACCACTTGGAAGACCTGGTGGACACCAAAACTGCCCCCATCAGATAAACAGCACTTAAAGCTTTCATCTTTGAGAGAGAGGAGAAAATCAAGCTGCTTCAGATCTGGAAACATCCACAGGTGTTTCTGTCCATCCTTCCACTGTGAGAAGACGACTCGGCGCTGTGGGTCTGAAAGGATGTGTAGCTGTCAAGAAGAACCTCACTGAGAAAAGGAAATAAACTATTTGCACAAAAACACTGGCCACCTGAGAAGTGGAGCGAGGTTTTATGGCCAGACGAGTCTACATTTTTAACTGAGAATACTTGGATTGTTAAAACAGAAAACGCAACCAACTTCTAAGACTGAACTTTGGAGGTGTGTCTGCAGATTTTTCTCCTGAAAGGAATGGAAACTGCAATAGAGGTAAAGAGTGGACACAGCGAATACTGAAAAACTGACATTATATTTAGTTTAGTCAGTTAAGCAACTGTCTACTGTAATAATTTGTACTTAAGGGCAGTTTGGACAGAAAATGTACTGATAAACAAAAGGTGGTCTCTGGATTTTGCACAGAGCTGAATGAAGAATAACATAAGCACCTTTTAATATTTGCAAAATATATCTAAAAATACATTACATTTATTTAGTTCTCAAATATAGTTAAAAATTGAAAATTTTGAAAAATGTATGCAAATACAGTCCTGCATGTAGGAAAGCATATGGTGTTTACCAATATATATATATATATATTTTTTTAAGTAGAATAGAGAGGATACTGTCTTGCTGGGAAATGAACCTAAGCTAAGTTGAATGATGAGCTTTGTTGAATAATTAGTGAAATGGGGCGAAAGGAGGGCCTACATGTGGAAAACTCGGACAACAAGCTGACAGAGAGCGGTTACCTGTCTAAAGGCGAGGTAGGCCTCCCATAGATATACCGTCCAGGAAAACACCAGGACGGCGTAAAATATCTTATCCTCAGCGGGGAGCTCGGCTATTTCTCTCAGCATGGTGGTTTGTTTCGGCCTTACCCAGACCGCCGTTAGCGGGGCTCAGTCAACACAGCAGCGGTTAGCTCGCTAGGTCAGCTAAGAGGCTATCATTCATTCAAACGGCAGCTGTTAGCTCCACACAGCGAGCGCGGATCCTTAGGAAACTACACGACTGAGATGTTATTAAGGTTTGTGATTTTTTCTCATCAGAACTGATGTTAAAATGAGCTTCTAGAAGCCGCTGACAGCGTTAAGTCATGATCCAATAACGGCACTTCCCTCCCTGTTCATGTGGAAGTGAGTGCCGGCTGAACGGACACGGGCTGAAACTGAGGCTCAACAACTTTAGATCCTACTGCACGATTTGTCCTGTGAACCTATATGTAGCCATGGCGACATCCTGTATAAATAAAAATAACACGTGGCCACGACTTAGTAAGGCGTGGGAATGGGATGATTAAGTTGTGGCCATGACTTAGTAAAGGGCGGGAACAAGATCCTAATGCGTGGCCACGACTTAGCAAGCCGTGATCTCGTTCCTACGCCTTACTAAGTCATGGCCACGACTTAATCATCTCATTCCCACGCCTTACTAAGTCGTGGCCACACATTAGGATCTCGTTCCCACGTGTTAATAAGGTGTGGCCACGCATTATTTTTATTTATACAGGATGTCACCAGCGGGGCTCCGTAGTACGGAGGAGTCATAATAATGAGAAAGGTTTCCATGATTATGAGTTAGTATCTCACAGTTATGACATTGCAACTCAAAATCATGACTATGTTATAATTATGACTTAATATTTCATAATAATTACTTACTTATATAACTTCTCATAATGATAAAAACATTTTTTCATAAATATGAGAAGGTGAGTCATTATTATGAGATACTAAGTCATGATTATGAGATCCTAAGTCATACTTAGGAGATTGCAATTCATACTTGCGACATAGCAAGTCATAAGTATGAGAAAGTAAGTCATAAATGTCAGATCCTACGTCATAATACCAAGTCAAAATTATGAAATGCTATCAAATTTTTTCCTCTCTAATTATGAGAAAATAAGTCAGAATTATGAGAAAGTGATGTCATAATTATACTAAGTCATAATTATGAAATCGAATCTCAATATTGTGAGATAGCAAGTCATAATTATGAGATGCTGTGTCATTATTATGAGATACTAGGTAATAATTCTGGAAAACTTTCTCAGTATTATGACTTAGTGGCTATATATTTTTTTCCAGTGGCATAAACAGGCTTCCACATACTGAAGTAATGGCCCTCATAAGAATATTGATTGTGCTTTCTTTAACCAATTATTTTAATCTGTTTAATTAAATGGTGTTAATGTGATGCAGAAAACATGAAAAAGAACAGAATGCATTCTACCAGTCTGTTGTAGCGAGTGCTTTACTCTATGCTGTTGTGTTCTGGGGCAGCAGCATTAACAAAAGTGCTCTGAATAAATTAAACAAACTTATTAGGAAGGCTGGCTCTGTTGTATGAGTCAAGCTGGACTCTCTGGAGGTTGTGGCAGAACAAAGCTCAACAAGCTATCTTGACCATCTTGGACACCTCACACCCCCTGCATGCTACACCGGATAACCAGAGAAGCACAGTGGCCGACTGTTACAGCTGCGCTGTGTTAAAGAGCGCCGTGTGAGATCTTTCTTACCCACTGCTATATGGCACTGCAATGAGTCTCCTTACTGCAGAGACGGTACTGATCTCCTGCTGTCAGAACTGAGCTGAACCACATCACTATATCACCTCTCAGATTAATACACACTGTGCAATATATCATAACCTGCTGCTGTACTGACACTTTCACTGTGCACTTTACACTGTAATATTGATGCAAATCCTGGTTATGTCTATAATCACTGGGCTTTTAGTTTACCTCATACCATTCAGTGCCCGCTATCATGTCAATACAAGAAATCTGTCTCATATGCTATGTAAATATGCAAATATAGATACTTTTATTTCTACTCTTATACTTGTGTCTATTTTATTTTTAAATGTTTTATTTTCTGCATAGTATATGTACATTTATGTGAAATTATATGTCTTGAAATACTGCAATTTACCTCAGGATCAATAAAGTTCTTTCTATCCATCCATCCATTCACCCATCTATCTATCTATCTATCTATCTATCTATCTATCTATCCATCTATCTATCCATCTATCTATCTCTGTACTGATTGGGTGCCCTGTATTGTGCCTTTAAATAAAAAAAAAGAGTTTTAAAAACTCTTTAAAACTTCAGCGTGAATAACCAGAGCTAATCTACTGTTGGCCGAATAGGCGGATATATGTAAGTGTGTCTTTTGGGACATCAGGGAATTAAACACAGGCTGTGTTGAGAGTGAACAGGTTTTGGTATCTTTTCATACTACATGAAACTTTCATGATATAGGCCTTTATTTGCTTAGTTAAGTTTTCACATAACCTTGATCTCTCATTTCGCCACTTTTCATATTGCAGCTCTAGAATTCACATTAAATAACACAGTTGGCTCATGGTTTCCAACCATCAGTGCTGTTAAACTCCACTGATTTTTCAAAAATTCTGGATAATTAATGTAAAAAACAAAGTCATTCAGAGTGGTTTGGTGTGAAATGCTCTCTTCTAGAGAAACTTGCCGAGTTAGAATTCACAGCGGTGGTGAAAGGAACCAGACATCCACTTCTAAAAGCTCCCTCACAGAAAGTTATTGAGTCACGTTTAATCCATTTGTTTTAATCCATTCATGGTGGAGGGGTACATTCAGGTTGTTGTGAGGCAGAATAGTCCCGAATTTTTTATTTTTTTTTAGATTTATGACTATGTTACCATCATAAACATTACATATACAAACACAGAAGATTCTTGTAGGTTCATTGGTGGTTTTGTAAAGTGAATAAAATGGCTATATTAGTGTTGTAGACATGGTGACCCCTGGTTCCTATCACCACCACTGTAAAGAAATGTGATTCTCTACAATGAACCATTTCACACCAAACCACTCCGAATGACTCTGTGTACATCTCAAGAACTGAATTATTCAGAGATTTTGAAAAATTGGTGGAATTCCATTTTAAATTGCCCTCTCTTCATTGTGATACCTATTATAGGCCTGTACATTTTATAAGACAAGTACAGCCACACTGTTTCGGTAAAGACTTCCCCTTCATAAACTATTCATACACCTAAGACCTTTAGGTGATCTTGAACCAACCACTTACAGTCAACGGCAGAAAACCCCTGCCTGGGTTATTATTTCACTGGTGTTCATTTTTTTTAATTTAACTACTGTTAACTACTTGGTAAGTCAATTTTTTTAGTGGCAAATCATAAAAAAAAACAAGTGCTATTATACACACACACACACACACATCATCTAAACTGCTTATCCTTCTGGGTCACGGTGGAAGTGCTATTACATGCAAAACAAATTGTCTACATAATTCAGTTGTTGAGATGCAAAGTCATCTGGAGTGGTTTGACAAGAAATGGTTCACTGTAGAAAAACTTACAGGCTCAGATTTCTTTACAGTAGTGGTGATAGGAACCAGGGCTCACCATGTCTACAACACAAACACAATCATTTTATTTAAACCACCAGTGAAGCTACATGAGTCTTCTGAGTTTTATGTATAATGTTGATGATGGAAAAATAATGACAATTCAGAAAAAAAAGTTTTCTTTAACGTCTTATTCTCCAGGGTATATTTTGTTTTTTTCCATTGAATTTACATGACCAAATCGTAAGGCAAATTATTCAGTAACTGCATGAAATAAATGTAAATTTTTATTTTATTTTTTTGTAAAAGCTCCCCCCAAATTAACAGAACGTTTTATGATCATAAACATATTGCTATATGCTTACAATTTAATGCTGAAAGCCATTTTTTTATAAAAATAATTTTTACAGAGCAGATCGCTGAAGAGACGCCATCTGTATATAGTTTATAGCCCAGATTTGTAGAAAAATGGGTCGACTTTCAGTAGACAAAAAAAAATTGTGAGTTCAGCTTCTTTTATTATAAGGGTTTAAAATTACAATACCCATCTATTTGACTGGAAAGAAGACAGTTACAGCTCTCATATGACACCCACCTTTTGAATGTAGCTTATGAAATATGAAAGTTATGAAGAATATGACAAAGTGCTTTTTGGAACCACCGGTGGTCTCAATGAGTTGGAGAGGACTATTTTGCCTTACAATGCCCTGCATGTACCTCTCCAACATAAACTGATTTTAAAACCATATTTCATAACTGTCAATAAACAAAATCTCAGACATTAGACAACATATTGATAACCATTTCATGTAATAACTTCATGCTTTTAGGCATTAAATGCATCAGATGTCCGGTTCCTATCACTAACACTGTGAACAACTCTAGCTCTGCATGTTTCTCTAGAACAGAGCATGTTAGCTACCTAATACCACCCTTTAGTGTGATAAGCTGTCTTTGGGCACTATTTTGCCTTGCAGTGCTCTGCATTTAGAGGAGCTTTTAGAGGTAACCTAGACGTCTGGTTCATATCACCACCATTGTAAACAACCCTGACTCTTTAAGCTTCTCTAGAACAGAGCATTTCACACCGAACCTCTCTGTTTGACCTTCTTTACATCTTAACAGTCTAATTCTGCAGAAATATGGAAAATTCCGCTTAAAACATCACTAAATGCCTTTACAGCGTCTAAAGTCCCCAATAAAGCGACCGCACTTAGCACATCAAACTCAAAACACATTTCAAACCGACATGAGCTCCCGTGATGCTGCACGCGAGCCCGCCCTCAGTCCGTCACCACTGTGACCAATAACATAGCAAGGAAGAAAAAATCGTTAAATGATTGGCTACATTTGGCTAATAACGTTGCAGGTAGGAGCTCTTTGCCCGCTGATTGGCTGAACGCTGCTGCCCGCGGTCTGCTCTTGTGACCAGTAGCGTGCCAAGCAGCAGAGCTTCTGTCCGCTGATTGGCTGAACGCTGCTAGAGCGCTACATTCAAAGTCAGTAACCGTTCACCCTGCCCCCCCCATCCCCGGGTACTGTTTGAGTGTTCGTATGGGAGTTTGCGGATCTCGCTAAAACAACATTGGCGAGAGATTTAAAAACCTGAGATACCGACGGGAAACGGATCCATCCGCAGGTAGGTTTATTTCATTTTACATCGATGAATCAGCTACAATTACGTTATTTATTTATTTGGGCTGTTAAAAGGCGTCTGCTTGCTAAACTAATGCCAGCTCATCTCGGCTGTGAGTTAACGTTAACTGACGCTGGACGCCGTAGGT